GAATATCCTCTTCAAACAGAGGTACAGTTGGAATTAATGAAAAATATTAGAATGCTTTTAAATGAACAGAAATCTGTTTTGAAAGCTTTTGAACGGATTGTGAAAAATGTGCTCGTGATTTGAGTTTCAGTTATGAAATATACTTATACTATACTGTGTCATTAGGCCACCAAAAGTGGGATATCTTCAATATGCTAAATGATGTTAGATATTGTTATGTCAAACCATTTTACATGATAAACTACTATCTCTTTTGAAATAACCCCTCTGTCATTACAGAAACTACTTTCTTTTTGGAAAAATGCCATCGATTGGTTGGACCAAGGCCGGAAGGGTGTTGTTGGTGTAGAGCCTAACCTCAAACTTCTCAGCAAATCAGGGTTAAAGTACGAGGAGGCAGCGTTCAGGAAAGACCTGAGTGTATTCGTTTGCCCAATGTGGAAGGACGATCGTGTGGAGGAGATGCAAGACTTTGTAGCAGAGGGAGGAGGCCTGCTGATTGGTGGGCATGTGTGGAACTGGGCACACAAAAACTTCGGGCTAAACCCGTTCACAGATTTCTCAGGTAGGATAATCATCAGAATATCCATTTTATGTTACTCTGAACTTTTACATTCATCATGCATAAATGTGTGATTAAAGCCCCACATGTTTTTTTCAGAAATGTCGTGGTTACTTTGCTGCAGCCAGTGAGAAAGTCAGTCAGTCTGTTTGTGCACAACACTTATGACACCATGAGGGCGAGTTGAGAATGACAGAACAACACACATAAATAAATGAGACTTTAAAAACAAGCACAAAGATTGTCATCTTTAGTTATCAAATTGATTCACATAATATATTAGAAGTGTATTTTCTGTCTATCTTTTGCCCACCTGGCTGCAGACGGTTTTGATGTTGTGTGGCCATTCTTTTGGGATGCAATTACATGATGTCACCATTGTAGTTGTTCTCTCTCAATGGTCTGATTTGGGGTTTTTGAATTTGGCCTAATCATCTTCAGGTTTATTAGGACCCTGTTTTTGTCTTATGTTTTTTATATTTTCATGAATGCCAGATTTGAGTCGTATTTCCAATGTATCCTTTTCAGATTGGGTCCATCATTTTGGACACATAATGATATTTTCTCTTGGATACCTCAACTCTAACCCGAATGATCCTTATCAACAGGCTACTGCTTTATACTCAAAATGTAACAGACCTTGATAAACTTGAACCAAATTTAGGTTTTAAAATATGAATTGAGTTATAGATGAATATGGACAGGCTACTTTTTAAATGGGGTACCAAAGTAAATTGGATCCAATCCAATCAAACCCTAATCATCAAGGATGGAGAATTAATTCAAAATTATCCTGTAGATTAAATGATATTTTCTGATCTGTGTTTCAGGAAACAAGATCCTGAACAGAATGGGCTTGAGTGTTTTGCCAGCAACAATTGGTGAAGGTTCCTACATTGTTCCTGTGCCAACTGAAACTGAGGAGGACAACAACCAATTCCGCCATGTCCTCTCTCGCTTTGCTGGTCGTGTTACAAAGGGCGAAGAACTCCCCGCGCATGAGGAGAAACAACTTAAAAAACTGGAAATGGAGTGTACCAACTTCTTGATGATGAAGGCTTATGGCAGCCACTCCTACACACACGTGCTCTCCATCCTTACTGACATATTGAAGAAGCTCGGCATGCCACAGGTGGGTAGAGAATTATTAGTTTTATGAATTGAATTCTGTTTATGGAAAAGCTGCAATTTACAGTAATAACTACTGTTTATAACAAGTAATTGCAAAACAATAGTAGCACCATTGTAACCACAATAACCACCTAAATCTTTACCACTGATATCAGACCTCCACATTTGTTTCATCCAAACTGTTGAATGCATAGGCGGCGCGTGAGGCTCAGGTTTGGGAAGGCTAAATAACTTTTTTTACCTGATGATGCCCGCCTCCGGCGTCTATAGAGTGGCGAAGTCACGCCCATCTACTTCCAGTCCATGGGACCTTATTTCAGAAAAATAATGTATTGAAGTCAATGGAGAGAGAAAACTTATCTTTCGATCCCGTTTGAATTGTGCCACGAATTACACATATGATGTTTGTCAATCTTAAAAAATCATTTCCATGTCAAAAAAGTCACAGTTTGTCGTAAAACTGTTGAAATATAAGACTATGAAAAATATGCAACTAGAAAGACTACAAATTCCAGATTCGCGTAAGTGATGTCACAATTGTTTTCCTCCACTAAGAGATAGCTAAGATCAGCTGGTTAAGATAAGATAACTTTAACAAGATGCCTGTGTGCTTAGTACCAGGTTGTTATCATACCAGCAATGGGTCTTGCTCGTTCTTTCGCTTCCCGTCTAATGAAAGGACCAGGAGTGGCTGGATCAAGTCAGCTACCTAGCTAGAAGCTAGCA